CAACAAGCACAGGCAAGCTTTAGTGGGTGCAAAATGGCAACCTGGTGCATTTTCTGTAACAAAATTACACAGTAGTCCCTCGTTTATCGCGAGGGATCTGTACCCTGAAAGAGCTTTTACCTAGTGTTGGGAATGGTCTCCCAGCTGACTGGAGAGATGAGCTGGATGGAAAATGCCTCCTGCTGAGGGACAATGTAACGATCAGCTGAAACAGAAAAAACATCAACCTCAGCTAAACAACGTGTCAGAAACAAACATACCTACAGGAAAATAAATTATTAAAGTACATCTTCAGTACTGAAGAAGTTGGGACGGTGCATAAAATGTAAATAAAAACAGAACACAATGATTTGCAACTCTCATAAACTCATTTTATTCATAACGGAACAGGACAAACGTTTGAACCTACAAATTCTACCAACAACACGTCCCAAAGATGTTTGGACAGGTCCATGTTTACCACTGTGAAACACTTCTTATTTTACTAACAGTGGCCTATACAAACAAGGACCAGGAGAGAAAAGTTGTTGGAGGACTCTGGCTGGTCAACAGTCCTCGGTCTATGCTGGACTTCTTGTTCCAACTTTCAGGACGTTGTTCTGTCGAATCCAGAATAGAATTCAAAATCTTACTTCTAACCTACAAAGCTCTCAACAACCTAGCACCAGCTTATGTTCAAGATCTTATTGTTCCAATTTTTTCCTAACAGAGCACTTTGCTCTCAGACTGCAGGTTTACTCGCGGTTCCTAGAGTTTCCAAAAGCAGAATGGGAGGAAGATCTTTCAGTTATCAGCCTCCTCTCTTGTGGAACCAGTTTCCAGTTTCTGTCCGTGAGGCTGACATGTTGTCCAGTTTTAAGAGTTTACTTTTTGATAAATCCTATAGTTGGTGGCGGCTTGTTATGCTGCCTTAAGCTTAGACTACTAGAGGACAAATTGACCTAATTTCCTTAAATGATTTGTTACAATTGAATAATTTTCATTTATACTATTTCTATCTTAACATGTGATTCTTGACCTGCCATTGTGTATCTGTTCCTACCAAACCCAGCCGGTCAAAGCAGATGGTCGCTTGTCCTGAGCCTGGTTCTGCTAAAGCTTTCTTCTCATGAGGGAGTTTTTCCTTTGAACTGTCACCTTCATGCTTGCTCAAGATGAGAGTTATGTGATAGGGCTGAACAATTAATTGAATTCATATAATATATACTGTACAATAATATTGCTATATGATAAAACAAGATTTTCTAATCGTGAAGGCTGCAGTTTGACTGGTCATGTGATCTGGTTATGTGACCTGCGAGTGAGTGGAGCGGAGCAAAGCAGAACAGGGAGCGGGAGAAGTCAACACTGCGCTTTAACTGGTTGTACAAAGGTGTCAGGCTCGACAGAAGCTGACGCATCTGAAAGTTTGGTACCAAAGAGGGGCAGCACGTCCGTTGTTTGGAATTATTTTGGCTATAAAAAAAGACGACGACGCATAACGACATGTATTGTGCAGAACCTGCTTTGCTGCTGTTGCTACCTCTCGATGTAACACCACAAATCTTTATCAACACTTAAAAAAACACCACAAAGACATTTGCGATAGTTGCATGGCAAGAATGCCAACGTGCTTCAACTTCAAGTAAGCAAAGTAGCAGCCAACAGGGATCACTGACCGAACTGTTTGAAGGTATTACTCCGTATGAACAGATTTCAAAACGGCACGTGGAAATAACTCAAGCAATAATGGAGTTCATAGCGAAAGACATGATGTCAGTTAATATAGTGAACAAGCCTGGGTTTACAGCTTTGGTAAACACAATGAATAAGCGGTACAGAATGCCTTCATGCACACGTTTGGCCAAGTTGCTATCCCAGAGCTACACAAAAAAATGCAGAAACAAAGTTGCAGTGGAGCTGAAAACTGTGGAGGTTTGTGCAACTGAAACAGTTCTATTTCATCCCTCCTGACCGCCAGAGGGCGGTGCTGAAAGCACTGAATGTTCCCTTCGTGCATGCGCTGTTCGAGTAATAATAC